ACAACAATAACTACTGACCTACCACCATCGCTAAGAGAAAGGGGAGGGAAGAGGCAAAGTGAGAGAGGTCATCAGAGAGGATAGAAGCATTTTGGGGCGCGGCTTGCTGGGCAGGCAGGAGAACATCTGGAACCAGGGCAATGGAGGTGGAAACGGGACTAAGGAAAAGAGCAGAGCATACACAGATGAGCAGCAGGATCTATGATGCTGAAAGCAGACTTCTAAAGGAATCATTAGTTCAGCACACACTCACGAATTCTAGGTGTTGGCAATGGAAGGTCAGACCAAAGAGAGGCCAGGCTCCTGCCCTCCAAGGGCTGATGATTCTAAAACCAACTAGAAAGAACTTCAGTATGGAATAAAAAGGTATAGAGGAGTCCACTCTGGTGGTTGGAAAATGGTCCCTCTAAGTATTCTGGAATATTCTGAAGCAAGATAAGAAGTTGAAAAGGTGGTTGTGTTGCATAAAAGATCCTGTCCAAAAGGGCCATGAGCTCCGGAGTATCCAAAGCAGGCAGATGCGGCTGGTCAAGGAAACCAAAGCCTCTGAGGGAATTCACTAGAAGACTTCGCCTGTTCCGAACACCACTGCGTCTGTTGCTGCGTTCAAGTCTATGGCTTGCCATCTAAGCCTGGACCTCTGGTGACCTGCAGGGAACATTTCTTGCTGTTACAGCCCTGGCTTTCTTGGCTCTTCCAGCCACCTTTTCACCAATTACTAGAGTGTAAGCCCCAAGAAGGAAGAAGATTGTGTTCTGCCCACTGATCTTCCAGGGTTCTTTGGCTCAACAAGGATCTGTGGAACGAATGACGGAGCAACCTCTGATCTTCCTCATGAGTGGGTCTCAACGGAAGGAGGGTTTGGTGAGAATCAGAGCAGCTGGAAAAGTCAATCCACATTTGGCTTCCGTCTGGAATGAACGGCTCTTCTTCCACGTTTCCATCCCACTCAGGAAAAGACAAGAGTTGTCTTCATGCTTGCGTTGGGAACTTTTCCATGTAGGAACTTGCTTTTCTCTTTCTTCTTCAGGATCCTCAACTGTCGCTGAGGGTCGGGTAAGGGTGACCATGCCTAGACGGAGGGGGGAGGCAGAGGAGGCCACAGTGCATACCCGATGGGCCCCACGGACCCCATGGACCCCACGGACTCCCCACCATCACACGCTGCGGACGCTGGCCCCAGCTGCCCAGAAAAGATCAGGCGCTGGAAAGGACATGCTTCTTGGTTTTATAAATTCCTCACACTTACCCTAGAAGATTAAAAAAATGGGAATTTCAGGAAGCAAGGTTTTTCAGTGTCAGAAGGAAAAGAGTGTGGTGTGTGTGCGTGTGCGTGTGCGTGTGTGCGTGCATGTGTGTGTGTGTGTGTGTGTGTGTGTGGAGGGAGGCTGAGGATGAAGGAGGGAAGACACAGGAGCCAGCCAAGAGGAAGCTGCTGGATTCACACCCCAGGCTCCTCCCATCCGAGCCGTCACCTGCTGACCCTGCTCCTTCTGGAGAATGGGTACCACAGCATGCTTCTGGTCACCCGGGGCCTCCATGGGGATGCTCTGACCGTGCTGACACACCAGAGACTGGTGGAACACACAGCCCTTGTCTCAGCCAGGCCTGGAGCTGGACAGCACCGGGCTCAAGGGGTCTCACCAGCACACAGTGGCCCAGGAAGTTCTCCCTGAGGAGGACTGGATGGAGACAGCATCCTGACCCAGCAAAGGGATCCAGAGCACAGCAGGAAACAGGAAGTAACTGATAACAGAGCTGTCTGCTGGTCTAAGGGTGTCACCCCTTGAGACCTGGCCAGCGTGGGCTGCCTTTGCCCTAGGTCCCAGTCAGCTGAGGCGACCTTCACTCCTGGAGTCCTCCTTCCTTGGAGATCTACTGACTCACAGGGAGACACCGGGGCGGCAGCATGAACACTTACTCCTCTTTCCTACCAATCATAGCTTGGGGACCCAAAAAACACAAGGTTTAGACGGTAGCAATAAATGAAAGATTACCCAAACATGTTTTTATTAGGCTATATACATATGCCTTGAATAGCCTCTTAATTTTAAAATATTAGGCAGGGCATAAATAAGAACACCATACTAAATCTTCATTTCAGGAAAAAACATGGCAGAACTTTCAATACAGGCTTAAGCGGGGGTTTTATTATGTATGTTGAATTGATAAGAGTTGGCGTGGTCTGCAGCAATATATGGTTCGTTGTTTCAAGGTAAAATGGAATAATTAATCATTTAACATCTATCAGAAAAGTTTTGAGCTTATAATAAGAAAAGTTCTGCAGTAAAGCATTCGGTCATACTTTTATCTCAATGTTTAATGGAAAGTGAGACATGTACCTTTCCTGCCTTTTGTCCTGAGCTGCAGGGTGAGACCAGCAAGGCATTTTCAGATTCATTTCAAAGCAGGAGGCAAACACAAGCAATCATCTAATAGGTTTTGTTTCTCTGCTCTAATACAGCAATGCTTCTGTTGATGAAAACAAGACACCTGTGTGTCCTGGTTCTTCTGTCTGTGTGGCAGTACTTGGAATTGAACCCATGGCCTCACACTTACTAGGCAGGCACTCTACCACTTCAGCCATACCTCCAGACTCCTTCTTGCACTGGTTCTTTTTGAGGTAGGGTCTTGCTTGGGACCAGGCCTGCAGGAGCCGTGATCCTCCTCTATGTCCTTACATCAGTGGGACTGACAGGTATGGTTCACGGTGCCCAGCCTTTGTGTTCTCCCATAGCTAGGACGACAGGTGCATGCTATCATGCTCAGCTACTTGTTGAGATGAATTCTCACAAACATTTATGTCCTGACTGGCCTTGAACCTGAGCCCCTAATTTCGAGCAACCAAGTCGCTAGGATGACAGGTGTGACTCACCATGCTTTATCTTCACCCTGAACTTTATCCTCTGAATCAGGCACATACACTTAGCTCCTTTCAGACTCATAGACTAGAAATAATGAAATTATTCAGGGACTTAAATTATTTGTCCTGATGGACATAAAGGTTTAGGGTCAACTGAGGCTCTGGAAATAAAGGTTTAGGGTCCACTTTGCCTCTGGTCATGGCATTTTGACAACTGATCTTATTCCATATGTGCTTTTGCTCAGAGGCATCTTATTTAGTACATATTGGTGATTCACTAGCATTGAACTGCTGGCCAGCAACAGCATACCCAGGGCTGAATACATGTAATTTTTCTGTAAGGCCTAATTACAATCTTCTTGAGCTCAGCAATAAACAGAGAGCATCACAACAGCACTGTGTGCACAAGCCATTTTAAATAGGGAAATCAAGAAGAAAAAATGAAAAAAAGTGGCACTAAATAGAAAGTAAAAAGGCTGATATGTACAATATAAGAGCTGAAACGGGGAAATAAAGCACTGCCTTGTGTGATGTCTGTTAGAATGTCCAATCTTGCTCTCTCTCTGTCTCTCTCTGTCTCTTTCTTTCTCTCCCAGGCTTCATGTGTTTGTAGTGGTGACTAAATTATTGTGTCAATTTTGAGGTTACAAATCAATTTTCTAACCATAGGCAAATTCACAAGTAGGGCATAAATACGTGAATAATGATGTTTGACTCTACACATAAATAATGAACTATTATTTGCCCATAAAAGGGAATTGGAAGTTGGATATATACTACAATAAGAATGAGATAAGCATTGAAAACGTTGTGCTAAGTGAAACAAGCCAGGCACAAAAGAGAACTATTGTGTAATTTTTCTTACTTGAGACATCGAGAACACAGCTAAATTCACAGACTAGACATTATCACAGTGTAGACAAAGGGAGGGAGTTTCAGTTTGGGATAGATTGAAATGAAAGATTAAATAGTTTATGTTAATCTGGTCAAACAAAATCCAATGCAGATATGCTGACTACTGAGATAGATTCAGACTTCATCCCCTTTCTATTATAATAAACACACTCTTTTTTTCTCTTGGCTTATGAAACCCATTAAAAAATGTCTATGACTATTGAGGACATAAAATGTGCATGTCAGTCATTTGGCTTATTTCATGCTTTTGGTAAAAATTTATGTGGTTCTGGATTGAATACTTCTGTAGTTGCCAAAATACTTCAATAGACAACCCATATTGCTGATTTTTTCTTTGGGGCGGAGTCATCTTCTTAGTGTACCACACTGGGATGAGCTGGCCCCTCAGGGGCAGTCACTGAGGTACCCTGGCACATGTCTCTTTCTTCCTCACCAAAATAGCCATCATCTGCCACCTTCATTTCCAAAGCCCCTATTTTCACGTCTCTAGAGACCGCTTTTTCACAGAATATGGCTGTGGTTATAAACCTAATTCCAACGTTCTCTGTTAAATGTTACTTCACTCAACAATCACAAAGCAGCACTGCTGCACATCAATGTGAACGAAAAGTGCAAATGTGGAATGCAAACAACATTAAAATGTAAACTTAAAATAGGAAGGAATTCATGGCCAATGGAAAAGATCTATTAAAATTCTTTCAATCTTTTAAAATGCATCTTAAGACTGCAAAAAAAGTTTCACTGTAGAGTACCATCTTGGCTTCTTTTATGACTGAAAAGAAAGGTTAATTATGATTGTCACGAACAGCTGTATATGGTTAACAGCACAACTATTGTAGGATGTTCACAAAACCCTGACCCCTTATAGATTCACATTCCTAGAAATCAGATTGTTCTCCCAAGTGGAGGAGACACCAAAAAAGCCTGTTTTCTATTGACCATGGCTTTGTACCAGCTGAGTTTTCAGCGCCAACTGGATCATCTTCCATTTGGGATAGTTCCCACTTATGATCATGGAAGATTTTCATACACTGATTTATGTGTCCAGAAGCCTATACATTCTAATGTTGTAATAAGTAATTTTTAAGTTGTCAAAAATCGGCCGAGTTTTGACTCTCCGTAGATTCTTTCATATAGGTACATCTGTTCAGAAATCGTGGGAGGAAAAAGCATAATGAATAACTGCCGTGTGCTTCACGAGAGCTAATTAATAGGTACTTACTCATTAAAGACGAGGTCTGGTGCAAAATAGAGATATTGGCTGTTGGTATGTTTGTAGGATCTCCAGCTCAAAGCAAATGATGATAGACACATCCAAGAATACTGGATTAGGGTAATTTGGTCCTCAAGAGGCAAGTTTTTAAATCCTGAAGAACAGAACAATTAATCATAGAAATACACTTAGCATATAAGTACATTCCAGAAGGCAGCTTCTCTTTTCCAGATTCAAATCAACTCTACTGTGAGCATCATACCTGGCCTATTCAACACTCTTTCTGTTTATTTATGCTGGTACTGGGGCCTGGGAGCTGTCCCTTAGCTTTTTCGCTCAAGGCTGGTGCTCTACCACTTGAGCTATGGCTCCACTTCTGGCTTTTTGGTGGTTAATTGTAGATAAGAATCTCTGGGGGCTCTCCTGCCCACCTATGATTCAAATCGTGCTCCTCCGATTCCAGACTCCTCAGTAGCTAGGATTATAAGCATGAATCACTTGGGAAGGCTCTACTGGCCTTTATGGGGAACCCTCAGTCAGGGAGAGCTCCCCATCTGTAGAGTATAAAGACATTGGTGCAGGTGATGGTGTGAACTTTGGCCACATAGACACAGCTGCTGTTTACATGTAAAGACTTGCTTTAGCCCCACCCACAATTAACAGCACCACAGTCAAAGGCACCTGCAGATCCACAAGAATGCCATAAGATTTCAGTTCTCAATGACTGTGGTATTAAGAAATACTATACCAGCTGGGTGCTGATGGCTCACGCCTGTAATCCTAGCTACTCACTACTCAGGAGGCTGAGATCTGAGGGTTATGGTTCAAAGCCAGCCTGGGCAGGAACCTCCACGAGACTCTCTGCCGGTGGTGGGGAAGCCGGGTGTTAGATTTTAGGCAGGACAGTTGCTCGAGTTCCTTTACAACTCAGATGCCAGCCTTAGCTCTTGATGGCCGGTGCTTCGATGGTCCCAGCTCCTGAGCAGCGAAGAAGGAGCTCAGTGGATCTCACCGACCGTGTGCATTTGATCTTATGAGTGCTTTCAGGCTGTGACGTTCCTTATCTCCAATTCAAGCACCGATGTGTGTATGAACAACAGAACCCTGAACCCTGCATTCTCAGCAGTGAGCTCACTGCCCGGACTTTCCCAACACCGTCCCTCAGTTTCAGTACCTGTCTCAAACTCTGACGGAAGGATGTCACAGAGCGCCGACCTCCCCCGTGGCTGGCCCCCGCCAAGCCCCCCACATGGACCGCACAGAGTCCTACCTGGAAGTACCTTCGCCCATTTCACCACCTGAATCATCTGTTTGCCAGCCAGGCGGTTGAGCGTGGAGAGCAAGTTCTCGGCGGTGTCGGGCTTGGAGCCATCGTAGCCTGCATACACGACTTCTGGCTCGATGCTCTCCAGGATCATGACTGGGGACGGGGTGAGTGCCCGGGAGATGGAGGAGAGCTGTGGGACCAGCGCGGTGTTCACCGAGGGCTCCTTGGCCGGGGCGATGTACGTGGTCCCCTCCTCAGGGCTCTGTGGTGGCGGTGGAGGCTGCTGTGACTGCTCCTCGTGAATCCCTTTTAACTTCCCCAACTTCTTTGACTTTCGGGCTGTGGAAAGCAAAGCAATAGACAGGGAAGGGCCAATTGAAGTGATCAGTAGAATACAGTGCACGGAGGCATGTTACCATTTAGGGCACATAGCAAGGCACATTCCTCTTAAAGAGGCCCTGCAAAGCCAGGTTGTTACTACTATGGTAACCGAGGCCTGGCTTCGTGCATTCATTCCTTGCTCTTCGCCCATCATTTCTGACGTGTAAGGAGCCACATGCCTGCACAGGAGTCCGGCTAATACCTGCTGTTGTGATCAAGCCATATGCGGTGCAGTCTTCTGAAGTGCAAACTCCCAGGTGACAAAGAGAAAAACAGCAACATTTATCAAGTGCATCCTATCATCAGGGAATGCTCTAGATGGTTCAGATGAAACAACTGATTTGAATTTTTCTGAGTAAGTACTGATTCTCATTTTAGAATAGGGCAGAGACTAGAGAGATTAAAAAAAAATCTGTCCAAGCTGGCTATCAGTGGTTCACACATGTAGTTCTAGCTACCCAGGAAGATGAGACCTGAAAATCACAATTACAAGCTAGCATGTGCAGAAACATTCATGAGACTCTTTATCTCTAATTAATCACCAAAAAGACAGGAGTGGAGCTATGGGTTAAGTGGTAGAGCACCAGCTTTGAGTGAAAAACCTAAGGGACAGTGCCCAGACCCTGAGTTCAAACCCCAGTACAGCATTTAAAAAATCACATGTCTGATTTATGTGAACTAAAGTTTAGAAGAAGGATAACTTACTTTCTAAGTTGAAATGAGAGGTAGATATGCAGATGATAGATAGTTGGAAGTGAATGGCTGAATAAAAGCTTACAGCTGTAATAATCACTTACTTTTCAATTGTAATGTTTTCAACTTACTTAAAAATTCTTGAAAGAATCTGACACTTCTATTCCTAACACACGTCCCAAATTTAGAAACTGAACAAAGAATGTTGAACCAATTACACTGACTTAAAAAATAACCATGTATACCAGGTGCTGGTGGCTCACACCTGTAATCCCAGCTACTCAGGAGGCTGAGATCTGAGGATTGCAGTTTAGAGCCAGTGTAGGCAGAAAAGTTGGTGAGACTCCAATTAACTGGCAAACAACCAGAAGCGAAGATGTGACTCAAGTGGTAGCACAAAGTGGTATCCTTGAGCACAAAACCCAAGTGAGAGTGTGGGCCCTGAGTTCAAGCCTCAGTTCAGGCACAAACAAAACAAAACAATTCACATTTGCCATTACACCCATTAATACTTACCACATTACTCACCGAAAGCCTACCATGCAGATAAAAGACATGTCATCACCCAACAAAGTATCTATTATATCTACTACACTGCCTAACTGTCAAAATTCAGCTTAAGAGGAGAAATAAGACATGATGCAATGGAGGAGAAGGAAGAGGAAGAGGAGGAGGAAGAGGAAGAGGAGGAGGAAGAGGAAGCAGTAGCGGTGTTGAGGGTCTTCCTTTTCCTTTCTTCTTCCTCTGTCTCCCCCATGTCCCCATCCTCTTCCTCCTCTTTCTTTTCGTCCTTTTCTTCCCCTCTTTCTCAGCATTAGCATGTGAACTCCGAGTCTGGAGCTTGCTAGGTGGGAGGCACACCCCCAGCACTTTTTGGAATTACAGGCCTGATCTACTGGGATGATTCTGACAAATGAATGGATAAATGAAAACAAATGGAAAACAGCAGCCAAATGCCTTAAAAACTAAAAAGGAGAGCAGAACCATATACCTAAGTAACCCTGAATGCTGGTCATTAGTGATCCGAAGAGCTTAAGAAAGTTTCAAGTGCATTCACTGGACATTTGGGCCATTAGGTCCCTGGAACTACCTCTGAGTCCCATTAAGCTCTCTCTCAGACTCAGGAAAATGCTCTGAAAAATGAGCACGGTAACACCGTGGCCCTCCTGTTTTGCAGATGCAATGATTGTGACAAACACATTGGAAATGACCGTGGATGCCTGAAATCGTATTTCAAAGTCACTTTTACATTTTCCCATAATTTTATGAACATTAAATACATTCTAGTTCAACAAATATTCCCATCTTTTCTCTACAAGACTACACTTGATGCTAACCATTATTTGACTGACTAGAAACAGCCAAGGGTGTTACTGTCACATTTTATTAAATGCAGTAGTATTTGCTTGCAATTAATTGCAAATTTCCTATTTGTTTTAGGCCTGGGGTCTACCTTGCTGTGTTTATTCTCATGGCTGACTTCAGGTCATATGTATGAAATATGAGGAGTACTGAATATTGTCTCTAGTTTGTAGATATCACGCTGTGATCTATATAGAAGAACCTATTGAACAGATTATCAACCTTAAGTTTAGCATTTGAGTTATACTGAACTTTATTCTGTGATTTTGGTGGCTGTGTGGGATACCTGGACTTGAGTAGTAACCTATGTTCATAAGAGCCACCACTATCTCAGGACAAACACCCCTCAGGCAAGAGTACTTACAGATGCTCCCACAGGGAGGATGGTTACATAATTAGTAAAAGCACATGGATTTTTCATACTGTTCTAATGCTGCTACGTTCTTAGATTCAAGCTCTTTGAAGCTGTCAATGACTTACGTGTTCCTGGAGCCTCATGCCGTGTGCCTTTTGACAAATGTTTACTGAGTGCATTTGTTTCATTTTCAAATGTTAATAAACTTAACAAATGACATCTTGTAGGAAGTACTACTCGAGTTCCTCATGGGGGAATGTCAGCTAGCATCAGCATCTGAGATTGTTTAAGATAAAATTTCTGAGTTGCTAATTATTATTCCTTTTCAAAATTTCTGCTGTGTAGTGATCCATTGGTGGAGTTCACACTCTTGAACTGTTGTGAACATTCAGTTCAAGGTACTGAGCACTTAGGTCTGACTACAGTTCAGCTTGCTTTTTCTGCATTTCGGGCAGTCTGATGCTCACTGGGACTGGTCATTAGACATTGTTGTTTTCCTGCCCATTTCTCAAGTGAACAAATTCAGATACAGATGGACAAAGCACACATTTGCAGGACTGCAGAGCTTGTAAATATCAGGGAGGGAACTTGAATCCATCCATGACTCAGAGTCACCAGCCTTACCTCCTATGCCATGGAGTCTTTCTCCTAATTTTCTTCTTTATCTAATCTGCATTATTTCTCTAAGATTAGCACAAGCTTTAAGTCCGGCACAATTAAGGTGTTTGCTAATTACATGGAAGCACTTTTGGTTAAAGATACTTAATAAGCATGCCTCTATTATCCAAAGACCCAGTGATCATCAGTTCTGGGGATTCCTCCCCCACGGTATAACCTCTGCTTTCACTGTATTTGATGTTGGTATAATTTGTGGAGGGGAAGGGAAAAAAAACCAATCATCTAAATAGGGATACAGGTGGACCCATTGCAACAATGAGATACAAGTCGTTATGTCGAAAAACATAAAAAAAGCTTTACAACTTTGGCAGGGGGGACAGGACTGGGGGGTGAGAACTGTGAGGGATGGGGGATAGGGAATGGGGGCAAGATGGGGAGGGATGGGAAGGGGAAACAAAGGAGGAGGCAACAATGCTTGATAAGAAATGTACTCATTATCTTGCCCATGTAATTGTAACCCCTCTGTACGGTATTTTCACAATAAAAAACAAAACAAAAAAACAAAAAAAACGTGGATTACTGGCTATTAGATTAGGAATCTCATGGACCTATGTGCCACAGGCCCCATTTTTTATCTATCAAATGCCAGTAACCCTGTTCCGTCTCTTTGTCTGACAGTCTGTCTGTGTCTCTTCCTCTTTCTCTATCTCTGGAGTGCATAGCCAGGACTATAAATGTCCCCCACATCCACTTAAACTCACTTGAAACAGGAGTCTTGATTGCTCGGCCTTGTGGCTGCCCTCCTATGCCAACCCTGGAATGACTGGCAGCATCCCGGCAGCTGGTTTTTTCCTGGCACTGCTAAGAGACAGAACTCCAAGGCCGGGCACCAGTGGCTCATGCCTGTAATCCTAGCTCCTCAGGAGGCTGAGATCTGAGTGAGGATCATGGTTCAAAGCCAGCTCCAACAGGAAAGTCTATGAGACTCTTATCTCCAATAAACCACCAGAAAACCAGAAGTGGGCGCTGTCCCTCAGCTCTTCAGCTCAAGGCGAGCGCTCTACCACTTGAGCTACAGTGCCACTTCTGGTTTTCTGGTGGTTTATTGGAGATAGGAGTCTCACGGTCTCTCCTGCCCAGGCTGGCTTTGAACTGAGATCCTCAGATCTCAGCCTCCTGAGTAGCTAGGATTACAAGCGTGAGCCACCAGCGCCCGGCTCTATGAGACTCGTATCTCCAATAAACCACCAGAAAACCAGAAGTGGCACTGTGGCTCAAGTGGTAGAGCGCTAGTCTTCAGCTGAAGAGCTCAGCGACAGCGCCCAGGACTAGAGTTCAAGCCCCACAACCAACAACAATTGGAAGGAAGAAAAGAAAAAGAAAAAAACAACTCCATCAATTCTCCATCAATTTTCCACCCAGAGGCAGGTAATGAGAGACCCTGCCGGTACCCTCACCGATCCTGGGAATATCAAGGAGGGAGCCCCTTGGGATCCTTTTAGTGGGATCCCATGGTTCATCAAGGAATGGGAACATGGTGTGGCATGACTTCTTGTTCGGTTGGCTCTCAAGGCTGGTGCGACCTACCACATACCCTTCGAGCAAAGCCCGGGCGTGGCAAAATGACTGCTGCTAGGAATGAGGCCAGTCTGGCACCCCACAGAAAGAGGATGAAGTAAGAGGGCTCTCTAACTTCTATCACTTCAAAATGCTTTTCCTGCTACAAAGTTCTGATGACAGTTTCCTTCCCCAACATCTCTGGACTCCAATAGGAGATAGATATATACAAGAATATGGAACTTTTTCTGGGTGTGTATTGGTCCTGGGGCTTGAACTCAGGGCCTGGGCACTGTCCCTGAGCTTTTCTGCTCAAGGCTAGTGTAGGGCTCTACCACTTGAGCCACAGATCTACTTTCAGCTTTTTTGAGGG